ATATTATTACTATTATTATTCATGAATATTTCAGGTCAGTCTTTCAAAACCATACAATGTTTTTTTTTTCCAAAACCTGGGTGTATTTGCTGCACATATGTGTTATATATTATTGTTGTGAATGCAGCACATGTATAAACAGACCCATTGACAGTTAAAAGTGTAGCATCTGTATTGCTTAAAAGACAAAGAGCAGGGGAAAAATACTAACATAAACAGCGCCTGAAAGTTATGTTCACATCTCAGCGATTCCCAGCTGTATAACGCAGTTTGGTGCTGCAGAGAAACCATAGCAAATCAGAATCGTTACACAGATCAGTTGGGCCCGTTTATAACCCTTGTTAGCAGTACAGGTATTATTTATTATTATTCGTATTTATATAATTGTTATACAAAATTTTGTTTTGCAGCACTTTACATAGTTGCACATTCACATCAGTCCCTGCCCTCAAAGAGCTTGCAAACTACGGTCCCTATCTCACATGCATTTATATACAAGGGCCAATTTAGACAGGAGCCAATTAACCAGAGTACCGCGGCACAGGGAGAACATGCAAACTCCTTGCAGAAAGTGATCTGGCCGGGATTTGAACCAGGGACCCCTAGTGCTACAAGGCAGGAGCGCTAACCTTTACGCCACAATGCTGCCTGCCTGAATTAACTGGTAATGATATATTGCAATTTAAAAACACACAAGAAGGCATGACATATTGTGCATGGAAAACACTCCAAACTGCATGTATTTTCAAAATGCAAAGTGTGGATTTAGCTTACAGAAGAATATATACACAGCCACTTTTTTTGCGAGTAATACAACCGATTGGGCTGTGTAAGCAAAATATAATACACATCAACTGTATTTAAGAACTTAGAAGTTGTCAGAAAATTCTGCCATTAATATAGAATTTTCCCTGCCTGTGAGCTGAATTTATTCTGTTTGCCTACTAAAGAGTGAACACCACTTTTATTTACCATTGTTTTTCATCACTTTTTTTTTTATGTCACCTAGAGGAAATGTTGGGACATATTCAGCGTTCACAACTGCTAGATTTCTCACTATCGATGATGTATCTTTTCATCTTTGGACAGTCTTAAAAGATGCAGATCTACCTGCTCTTGCTTCAGATCTGGGCTGGCAGTTCAAACCTGACTCAGGTTGTCCAATCTTTATGCACTGTTTTGCAAAATAAATTTCACAAAGCTTTTATTTATCCATTTGTAACCTTTAGGCCACCATTTGCTGCAAATGGAGGTCCATTTTCACACGTTTCTTCAAATAGATAGATAGATAGATAGATAGATAGATAGATAGATAGATAGATAGATAGATAGGTAGATAGATAAATGCATCCCTGGTGAAGATAGCATAGTGACAATTTTTTTTTTTTTTACGATAGTAGCCCATCATTTGCTGGAATCACTTCACTGATGGTATGTGCGGAGGAATCTCCTCTGCAACTCAACCATCAAACAGATGTAGCAGACCAACAATGGAAGTTTGATTACCTTTTCTGTATAGTTATGGAGCGTAATTTGGTTGTGCATGTTATTGCAGGTTTCGGCCTCGCATGTCCATTCCAAATATTTTACATAATTAAAAATTCTATTCAGATGTTTTTTTGCCAAAATATTATTTTGGTAATCTTAAGGCTATACACAGTGTTTCCTTCCCTTAGAAAATAGCTGGTCACCTCTGATAACTATGTAGCATCTCTTGCACTTACTGTAGCGGACAAACTTTGGAGGATATAACAAAAAAAGTCCAGTACTATTTTTAACAGGGTGTTCCTAGAGCTCTATTTATAGCCGGCAGCCCTCTCTTATGACCCTTTCCAAATTGTGTTCCCAATAATTGGCTCATTTGTTGGTCAAATTGTTTTTAATTAATCCTTTTTATTGACAATTTTCATTTCTTGACAAAACATTACATTAAAAATACATTCAAATATCATACAAGCAATCAACCTGCATACATTATCCCCAGAAATTGGTCAAATTGTTTAACAAACTATCAGTACTTTCCTAAAATGTTCAACTTTAATCCATGTTAATGTGTCAAAACTAAGCACACCAACCTACATAAAGCAGAAGATCTCATAGGGTCCAATTTTGCAGTTCACATAACTGAGACTATTTCTCCATTGAACACTATTTTATTTGTATTTTTCCAAAAAAACTTTTTTTATTGTTTTCAAATAGACATTACAATAAAACAGGAAACATACTTAAATAATTTTGAAAGTACAGACAAAGTAGTCAGAAAATGTTAGATATGGTAAAACATAATATCTAGGAACAACCAAGTAGGACCATTGGTAACATGGATCACACTCCAATAGAGGAAACCACTGTAGTCTGACTCTGGAGGGCTAAGCCTCATGGTTGAACGAAAACAGGGTGTCAAATGGGCAAGGACTGCCCATTGGGTGTAGTAGGCAATATGAAGAGTGAAGTTAGGAAAAGGGGGAAGAGCATAAATTAGGTTTAAACCTTTAGTAGGGGAGGTAGGCACTTCAAACATTTCCGCAGGAGGGATCCATCAGATCTGTAGATGGACTGGGTCAAAGTTCAACAAACTATTATAGGTAATCCAAGCCTCCCAAATCATCTCAAATTTAGCGTAGGACACCTTCCAAGATTTTATTTCTTGAACAAATCCTGCAAAACTATTTCGGAGAGATCAATAATGCCAAATGTTGTTGCTTCTAAGCGTACATCCGGACTTGTTCTTTACACTGAGAGGTTATCACTGTAGACGCCCAGATTTGTATAATGTATGGCCAACTTAAGCCAGCATCATGTCAGTTTGTCCTCAAAATAGGCTTTTTGGGATACGAATTAAAATGACTCTAAACTCAGGAGTTACATTTTAAAATTGCATTCAAGTATCTTAACTATTAACAAAACTGCATCTTATTTGTGTATCACTCGGCTGTAGATTCTCAAATCATCTCTGAATTGGTGTTGAGACTGTCCTTCCTTCTGGAGGGGGGCTACTTTTGTTCTCCATGGTCCCTGTGTGTGTTGTAAAGTAGTCACCGCTCCAAGCTCGCTCATGTTATAGAGTACAATCTCATGTTTAGTTAGTTAATTTGTACTGAAGTTATAGTCCATCACGTGTATTGAGATATGTTAGATCTCAATACAGAGATATGTTAGATCTCAATGTTAGATATGGTAAAACATAATATCTAGGAACAACCAAGTAGGACCATTGGTAACATGGATCACACTCCAATAGAGGAAACCACTGTAGTCTGACTCTGGAGGGCTAAGCCTCATGGTTGAACGAAAACAGGGTGTCAAATGGGCAAGGACTGCCCATTGGGTGTAGTAGGCAATATGAAGAGTGAAGTTAGGAAAAGGGGGAAGAGCATAAATTAGGTTTAAACCTTTAGTAGGGGAGGTAGGCACTTCAAACATTTCCGCAGGAGGGATCCATCAGATCTGTAGATGGACTGGGTCAAAGTTCAACAAACTATTATAGGTAATCCAAGCCTCCCAAATCATCTCAAATTTAGCGTAGGACACCTTCCAAGATTTTATTTCTTGAACAAATCCTGCAAAACTATTTCGGAGAGATCAATAATGCCAAATGTTGTTGCTTCTAAGCGTACATCCGGACTTGTTCTTTACACTGAGAGGTTATCACTGTAGACGCCCAGATTTGTATAATGTATGGCCAACTTAAGCCAGCATCATGTCAGTTTGTCCTCAAAATAGGCTTTTTGGGATACGAATTAAAATGACTCTAAACTCAGGAGTTACATTTTAAAATTGCATTCAAGTATCTTAACTATTAACAAAACTGCATCTTATTTGTGTATCACTCGGCTGTAGATTCTCAAATCATCTCTGAATTGGTGTTGAGACTGTCCTTCCTTCTGGAGGGGGGCTACTTTTGTTCTCCATGGTCCCTGTGTGTGTTGTAAAGTAGTCACCGCTCCAAGCTCGCTCATGTTATAGAGTACAATCTCATGTTTAGTTAGTTAATTTGTACTGAAGTTATAGTCCATCACGTGTATTGAGATTGTAGTCTATCACGGGAGCAAGCTTGGAGTGGTGACTGCTTAACAACACACATAGGGAGCATGG